TCTCTCCAGGGCCCTTTCACCTGCCATGCCAGGTAGGACTGGGCAGGAGGCAGGGTCCTGGGGTGCCGTGGGCCTGTGCCTGCCGGATCCTAGGTCTGCAGGGGCCCTGGGCCCTGGAGAAGGCCAGGAAGGTGCTTTCATGTTCTGAGGAACAACTGCTGAGGGCCCCCAGAGGGAAGGACTTGGCCCTTTCTCTGAGCAAGTCTGAGTTCTGACTAGTTCTAACCCTCTTGACACTGCAGCTACTTTGTGTGACCTGCTCCGCCCGACCTGGGGAGGTCGTCTTCCCAGCTCGCTCACCCTGGGGAGGCACTGTCACCCACCCCAGCTGTGCAACCTTGGGCCATCTCTAAGCATTTCTGGGCTGCAGGAGTGGGGCCTGGTCTCTACTGGCCCCTCCCACAGGATGTCCAAGAGCTGGTACCCACATGTCTCCGCCTCCTGCCTGTACTCTGTCCCATGACTCACCTTGCATGGAAGGTGGGAGAGGTGGGGCTGTCTGAGGGTTCAGCCCCAAGCTCTGGAAGCCCCTCAACCTGGTTCAAACCTTGGTTCCCCATTTCCTGGCTATGTGACTCACAGCAGGTTGCTTAAGCTCTCTGAATCTGTTTTCTCACCTGAACAGCGTAGACGATGGAACAGTACCTGCCTAAGAGAAGCATTGTGAGGATTCAGCCAAATCAGCACATAAATTGCTCTGCACCGTGCCTGACACATAATAAGCACTCAATGAACGTGGGTGGCTGAATCTTCTGCGGACACCCCTTGGGCCAGCATTTGGTGATGCCGAGCACAAGAAAAAAATTGATGAAATTAACTGATGCTTTTATACAGTTGTTTTTTGGGGAACACTTGGTGTAGCGTCACCCTCCCTGTCCCCAGACATACCCACACGCATGCACACCCACGTACAGGAAATCGAGAGCAGGTGGTAGGAAGTGTTGCTCTAGGCAGGGCTGTAGTCTCTCCGTTCATTCATGTGACATGTCTTTACCAAGCATATGCTGCGTGGCACTGGGGGGACTGTGATGCACAAGATAATGGCCTCTGTGCTCCCAGAGCCCACAGTCCAGTGGGGAGCCAGGTGAGGAAGCTGCAGCTGTGATGCAAGGTGATTAAACCTGTGATTATAGACGTACAGGATCATAAAGGTGGCACCTAACCCAGACGGAGGGCTTTAAGCTGAGTTGGGAGGGTGCTTAAGAGTTAGCCTTGTAAAGGCTGTGTGTGTGAGAGTGATGTCCCAGGCAGAGAGAACCACACGTGCCAAGGCCTGGAGGCACGGCATGTGGGCATAGCTGAAGGAGAGTGTGGTGTAAGGGGGTGAGTTGTGGTAGGTGAGGTTGAAAGGTAAGCCAGCTCCCACAGGGCTTTGGAAGCTCGTGAGGAATCTGGATTTTCTCTCGAGGGCAGTGAGGAGCCACTGAAGGGTGAGGTGGGGCCAGGGAGCTTTTATCATGTGACCTTCATTCTTCCCTCTGCTCTGTCCCATAAGACCTGGGCCATCTCATCCATGTCCCGTTCTGGTTGGCCTGCTGGGTGTCTGGTTTCCCCGTGGAGGGGGAGTTGGGGAGCAGCCAGGACCCCGGGGATTTCCTCCCTTCCACTCTTGCCACAGGGTCTTCGGCAGCCAGCTTCCCAGAAATAAGTCACAAGTGTCGAGTGTTGCTTCCTTGAATCCTGCCTGGAACTGCGGTCAAGTCAGTTTCATACAAACCAAATCACACATTAAATGGATTAGGGGAAGTGGCTAGTTAGGGTCTTAGAAGCCTAAAGAACCTCTGATAAAGGCGAAAGATACTCCACCCTTGAAACGAGTTGGGAGATTGCATTTTGGGTTTGACCTGACAGAGATTGGTTGTGTTTCTGGAGCTGGTTGTGTTTCTGAAGCACGGACAGGGGGCAAGCTCATGAGGTGGAGAAGAGGGTGCAAGGGGCAGCCCTGAGGAGCCCTCCCTGTGGGGCCATGCTGGCCGTAGAAGCAGAGCTCAGGGCTGCGGAGGGCCTTCCCGTGTGCTTGGGGTGGAGGGGGACACTCGGATGGGTCTTGGAGGTGTGGTGGAGGAGGGTATGCCAGGCAGAAGGAAGTAAACCAGGAAAGGCATATGGAGGTGGGAAAGCTTGGGGTAGCGTAGACCAGAACTGGCTGTGGGGACAGTAGAGCCCCTTCCCACTTCTTCCTGCCTGATTACACCCTAAATCCTCCCCTTCCACAGCCACCTCCCCTCTGAATCGTCTTGGGGTTAGGGCCGTGGGCCCCAGGGGTTGTAACGGACCTTAGAAGCTCCTGGATAGCCTTGGCTCTGCCCAGGGTGGACGAGAAGCCAAGGACTTGTCAGCTGTACTTCTATTGCCAAGGCTGACCCAGGCTGCTGACCCCAAGCTGAGGCCAGGCACATGGATGTGGGCATTGTGGCTGGCGGGTTGACAGACAGGAGCAAGGGTTAAAGTCCAGTGCCGTGGCTCTGGGTCCTGCCCTGGGCTGCTATCCTGGACGTTCAGGCCTTCTGACCCTGGGGTGCTGGGAGAGAGGGTGCAGGGCCCTGATGCCAGTGAGCAGCAGAGGACATTGTGGGAGAGCCCCCACTTTGGAGTCAGCCAGGCTTGGGTTAGAATCTAGACTGTACCATCCTGTCTGGGAGGCCTTGAGCAAGCCACTGAACCTCGCTCAGCCCATTTCATCTCTAAAAGGAGAATCACAGTGTGAGGGTGACGGGGGAGTGTCTGGATGGTCCTTGTCACTGTGACATGGGAGACTGCCTCACCCTGTCAGTGCCCACGGTCCCGCAGTAACCCAGGCCCTGTCTGCGCCCACCTCCCTGGGGAAAGACGCTCCAGGGCTCCGAGGGAGGCCCAGGCCTCTGCACTCCAAGTCTCCTAGTGTAGCCGTGCGCCGATGAAAAGGGGGGAGGCAAGAGTGTCATGAGGGGAGGTAGGTGGGAGGCCGCTGGAATGGGCTTGGAGACCAGTCCCACCCACTGCTGGCCAAGGCCAGGCACTCTTCCTATTGCCAGGCCTCTCAGTGTCTTCCTTCCTCTCAGCTTAGGTGCCCCAGAAATATTGCCCTGGACTATTTCTGATGGGATGGAAGCGGGGTTCTAGGGCCACTTAGGGAAGGCGTGCTGGGATGATGGTGGGCTATGGGGGGACAAGGGTCTGGATGGGCTTATGAGCCCTCCCCCCGCAACCCTTGGGAATGGGGGGCTGGCAGCAGCAGCCCTCCACTGCAGGGATTCAGGCTGCCATCTCCATAGCAACAGGTATCCCTAGCTAAGGGATTGCTCTCTTAAAGGCACAGTGCAGGAGGAGCTGGCCTACTGCTGCCGAGAGCTGGGGTTAGAATGATGGGGTACCTGCCTCCACAAGGCTCACCCTCCTCTTTCCTTCCGTAGTTTGCTTGGGGAACAGGCAGGAGAACAAGGCATCCTAGGGGTGTATCTTGTATACTCTGTACACTCCCCAGGGAGCAAACAGGTGAGAAGGTGACCAAGTGCTGCCCTGAGGGCTGGCTTTGGCCTGCTCTACTTAGCTCCATGACCTTGACTAGTCTGGGCCCCAACTTTCTCTCCTGAGAATCAGAATGGTCAGACTGGAAGGCAAAAGCCCTAAACAGAGATTAGGAGCATATGGGTTTTTCTGTTTCTTTTACGGATGGGCATAACCGAGTTCCCCGAGAAGGGGCCAGAGGGTGTTAAGGACATTGCTGAGCTGAAGACGAGGTCTCGGCCAGCTTGGAATCCTGGGGCCTCCGCCTACGGATCATCCAGTGAGCTTTCCTGGACTTCATTCACTCACCTCCAACTCAGCAGTTTATACTATAGTCACATTACTCATTCAGTACTTTTTTGCCTAATTTTATAAAGAAACTTTGTAATCTGCTGTAAGTTATCATTTGCTATAGAGTAACAGTAAATATATAAGAAACTACAATGATATTAAAGTCTAGCTAAAGACCATTGTCCCCTGCAGCTCTGAGCTTCCTGCCTTCTCTCTTTGTTAGTAAGGAAGGTTAGCAAGTGGTGGAAAGGTATTAAAGACACCCTCACACCAAATTGAGACTTCCTCCTGGGTGCAGTTTATAGGATTGAAAGACCTCTGCAAAACTAACACCCTTCCCACTGTGACTCAATGCTGTCTGGTGTGTGACCCGTCTGCTTGTTGCCAGCGGAGTCCCACGGTCCCAGGAGCACTGGCCTAGCTGACCTGCTCAGCTCCTGCAAGGTGTCTCGGCGTCCAGCCATGCTTGCAGGGTGTGAGCAGGGGCACGGGGATCCGTGTGCAGGTCGAGCAGAGAGGCTGCTCACGGAGTCTGTCGGCCAGCGGTCTTCCTCGCCAGCCACAGGCCTGCCTGCCAGGAATGCAGCTCTCGATTAATCAGCGAGCTGCTGCCACGTGGCAGGCACTTTCTCTCTCTGAGAGAAGTGTAGCAACTCCTACACTTTGCAGATGAAGAAACTGAGGCACTGAGTCAAGTCAGAGGCTCAGTGCGGTGACTAGAAGAGCTGGGCCTTGGGTCCTAGGCTCTCAGCCTATAACACGCGGGGCAGGGGGATGAGGGCAGTTTGTGCTCCGCTGTTTAAACAACTGAGGTCTTTAGGGGCCAGGGCGCCAGGGGAGGGGCTGGGATTTGACTACAGCTGGGGAAGAAGAGCCAGCTTCCTCCCAGGGGTCAGAGGGCTTTTGGGAAGGTTAAGATAGGAGGGAGGGATATGGGGTGCCCCTGCTGAATGCCGGCTGACCCCCTTCCTGCAGCAATACTTCATCCTCCTCATCATCACGGACGGTGTCATCAGCGACATGGAGGAGACACGGCACGCCGTGGTGCAGGCTTCCAAGCTGCCCATGTCCATCATCATCGTGGGCGTGGGTAACGCGGACTTCACCGCCATGGAGTTCCTGGACGGAGACAGCCGCATGCTGCGCTCCCACACGGGGGAGGAAGCGGCCCGCGATATCGTGCAGTTTGTCCCCTTTAGAGAGTTTCGCAACGTGAGTGCGGGGGCCGGGCTGGGGAGGGGACGGTCACGGGACCCCCGGAGCCATAGTAACGATCAAGGACAAAGGTCCTAGGATTGTTTGCTCGTCCGAGGCTCCTCTACCCTGAGCCCCATTGACCGCATGCTTCCTGAGGGCCTACTATGTGCCCCAGACGAGGCCATGTGAGCGTGAGCACTTGCTTCGGCAAGCTGATGGAACGCAGCAGGGGCGCGGTGGCCAGGCCAAGTTGAGGCTCCAGGGCAGGGTTTCCTGGGGGACCTGCCCTCGAACCCTGACCAGAAGTCAGTTACCCATGCGACACAAAGATTTCCAGGAGACAGAGGACGAGAGCAAAGGCCTAGAGGTGCGAGAGGCTTTTGCGGTGACCCCGTCGCCCAGCTTCCTCATGTCATGAGTGGGAAACCAGGCCCATCTTAGGATGGCCTCTTCTCCCTAAGGGCCTCTGCAGCAGGGACTGGTGGCCCCACCTGGCTCCTGTTAGCTGGGCCCATGAAGAACCCCAGAGGGAGCCCAGCCCCGTCAGATGCACCCCCTATACTGCCAGCCTTTTATTTGACCAGAGGCACCGTGTGACCTTGGACAAGTCCTTGACCTCTAGGCCTCAGTTCTCTCAGCTATAGGGCCCCTCGGGGTACTCTGGCTCAGATCTGGGAGCCAGTCCCAGCAAGAACTGACCACTCTGTTTCGTACCCAGTGGTCCTCATATATCTCTACCCAGGACCCTCTGGACCTACCTGAGATGGTTTGACTCCTTCCTCTGGAGGCATTAGCTTCCTGACAAATGCCGGGTATCGGCCACCGTTCACACGCATGGGACATCGACTGACCCCTCCCTGTGCCTGGCTTGTGGCCGCACATTCAGCAGTAAACCAGACAGTCGTGGCTGTTTATACCAGCCAAGGAGGTGCTCGGGAAATGTTTGCCAGATGAGTAGGCCGTGCAGCTCGCCTCCGCCAGCTCTTTCCCCGAAAAGCCTCCCACAGACAACTTCTTCCTAAAATGTTACTCCCGGGCATCTCGAGTGCTTAGGAGTTACACCTCCCGTAAAGGCAGGCCCTGCGAACGGTGGCATTTCAGGCATGGACAGGGATGAGGGACGCCAGTTTCAGACCGCCCTGGCCCTTGGCCCTGATTTCGTCCTCCGGGAACACCGTCAATAGCAGCTCCCTTGGCGTCCTGCCCCTCATGACTCCCGTTTGGTAATCCCTTATCCTCTCTTCTCTCCACCCTGCTCTCGACCCTGCAGGCGGCAAAAGAGACCTTGGCCAAAGCCGTGCTGGCGGAGCTGCCCCAACAAGTTGTGCAGTATTTCAAGCATAAAAACCTGCCCCCCACCAACTCGGAGCCCGCCTGAGCGCCGGCCCGTCCGTGCCCAGCAGCAGCATGCCGGCTGGGCCTCCCGCCCGCCCCAGGAACGTGCACGCTCACCCTGCTTCCTTGTGGGTGGATTTTTTTTTTTTTGAACTGATCCACATGTTTATTTTTTACAACCGGACCTCCATCCCCAACTTCCCCCGGGCCAGCTGGGCATCCTTTGTTGGAGTCGACGGATGATGCTGCCGGGCCAAACCGGCTCCCTCTCCCCCTCTCCCCACCCTCCCCATTCTTAAGTATTGAATGTACTTTGTATAATTTTCGTGGAATTATTATTGTTATTAAAGAGAATAAAATTTTTACAATCATAATTGGTTTTCTCCCAGTAACTGGCGGCCGACTCAGAGCAGCGTGTCCCCAGTGTGCACTCTGTGTCACGCCTGCACCTAACTCCTGCTCTGTTTTTTAATACCGTGACCACGTTCTGTGTGTCATATGCGGGGTAATAAAGGAGTTGCAGATGTCCCTGTGCCAGCTCCTTCCTCAGCTTACTGATCGGATGGACTTACCGATCCGGGTAAAGAACATGAAAACCTCTTTTCTCCAGAAAGCCTATGAGGTCAATGTCATCACTTCTACTTGGGGACCTGCATTCCACGCAAACTCTGACACTTCTGTTAAATTGGCACAGAACCTGGCAGCGTATACGCTCGATAAATATTTGTGGGTGAATAGAATGCACAGGACCCCACCGGCGACTGTAGGTTTTCTGGCCCCTGCAGAGCGCACGCATTTCTGGAGTCCCCACATGCTGGCCCAGCCACCACATGGTCACTACCCCTTTTTCCTTTTGGTCCACTCTGTCCTATGCCCTTCTACACACACTCTCTCTCACACACACACAGACTGCAGTCACTGCCACCCATTTGCTGCTCCTCCGGGTCTCCCAGACACAGGGGTCCGCCCTGTGATTTGCAGTGTGTGAAAGGCTCTTTGGCCTCAGGTTGCTAACTAAATAGGGCTGCTTTTGTCCCTGCTGCCAGCAGCCACTGGTTTCTCCCACATGCCCCTCTCTGGGCTCAGGCCCAACTTCATGCAGCCAGCCAGGGAACCAGTCTGTACAACCCCACCTCAGTTCCCTCCCTCTTCCATATAACACTTCCTTCTCTCTTACCAACCTCCCCCCACATTCCCCCCCCACCCCGGGAGTCCTAGACAGCCCCTTTGCCACAGGCTGGTGTATAACCAACAACTGACATTTATATTAAGCACGGTTCCCAGCTCCGTGTTAACTGTTTCGCAGGTATAATCCTGATGAACCCTTCCATCAGCCTGTCTGTGACCACTTCAGAGATGAGAAAACAAGCAGAGAAGCTAATCAAACCTATCGGAGGCAGAGCCAGAACTTAGATCCAGGTCTGGCAGACTCCAGGGCCCACGCTTGTTCCACTGCTCTGAGTGTCCTCCCTCAACCCTACAAGGGTCTTCTGCTCAAGCTGCTGAGTTTGTCCTTCTTCACTGAGACTGTGAAGTCACTTACCTCAACCTACTCTCCCAGGTCATTCTTGCCAGTGGCCTACTAGACCGGTGTACCGGGTGGTATACCAGGCGGGTTCCTACCTCCGGGCACCTGGTAACCTCAGGAGCCAGTGTTCACCTGGTGGGAGCCAACGAGAGACATCTATCTTCTTCCTAAACTTTCAATGCCTCTGCTAATTCTGTGGCTACCACGTCAGCTGAAATATCCTTTAGAGACACCTTCATTTCTCCTGAGGGCTGCAGGACTGCATGGAGCCCTGATGCCAAGGACCTTGGGAAATTGCAGCACATGGGTCCAGGGGCCAGTTGGCAACATGGATGGAATCCTGGGACCAGCACATCTGGCAACTTTAGTGCACACCTGGCCTCCAGGCTGACTGCGAGGCTGGGTATTGGTGGAAACAGCAGCACGAGACCGCTGGCTTGCCCTCCCGTTTGATGGCTGAAGTGAGCCTAGCTGGATGTCACAAGCAGGGAAGTTTGTACCCATCCCAGCCTGGGGGAATCTGTCAAGTCCTGTTGACCAGAGGCCTCTCTCTAGAGAAGTAGCCTTCTCCTCCCAGCCCCACATCCTCCCCTTAGCCTTCGGGGGATGGGTGTATTGGGGTGACTACTTCTCATGCAGCCCTCTCACTTATACCTCCCCACGGAAATAATTTACCAGATTAGTGAAACTGGGGAGTCTGACACCTCCCGGGCCATGTGAAGGTAGAATCCCTGCCTTCCAACTGGGTCCATCCCAAGTGCTTCACTGTGGAGGACCTGCCTACTCAGGTGTGGCGCCCCCGCCCCCGCTTCCCACTTCACGTAAGAGCGGGCCCAGCCAACTCTGCCTTTTATTCCTCCTTCTCTGCCCAACGTTGGGTGGGTCAGGCAAGCAAGCCCTCTACTATCAGCTGACTTGAGCTCACAGGGGACATGAACGCGCCCAAACTCCTGACCAGGCCGAACTGCCACTTAAAAACAAAAACAAAAAAACAAATAATTAAATCCTGGGGATGTGATGTTCAGCATGGTAACTATAGCTAACAATACTGTATTGTACGTTTGAAAGTTGCTAATCGAGATCTTAAAAGCACTCATCACACAAAAAAATTTTATAACTACGTGTGGCGATTGATAATTTCAAAACATATACATTGAATATGTTGTATACTTGAAACTAATGTTATATGTCAATTATATCTCAATAAAAACAAACCAAACCTTCGTGCTGCTACTCGTTCTCACACGTGACTAGTAGGCTGAAAAGAATTGGAAGGATCACCCTGCATCACCTCCGCTGAGGCCTGAGCACTGGCATTTAAAGTTTCACTGAGACCACAGAAAGCCAGAGGTAGAGTTAAAGGCTCAAAATGAAAATTCTGGTTCTGTCACCTAGCTGTGTGCCCTTGGGCAAGTCACTGAACTTGAGTTTCCTCAATGAATTTGGGTTTCCTCAGTGAATTTGGGTTTCCTCAATAAAATGTAGAGAAGGGGTGCCTTGCAAGACTTTTTCTCAGGGTCAAAGACACTACAGTCCACAAAAGTGGTTCACAAATGTCCCAAACAGTACCTGGCACGTACACAGCAGGCTTGGTACAGATTCAAAGAAAACAAATCATAAGAGATAGTGACATTCATGACTATTACTAAAGTAGTAAGGGAGAAGCCCAGCCGAGTCTAACACTCGGAGTGGAAGCTGACTGTGGGTTTTGCTGCCCGCCTCCTCTGCCAAGCTCCAGTGCTGGGGCCACATTCTGCCTGTCACTGCTGTGACACTCCCTCTCTCTCTAAACCGTTGCTCCGGCAGGTGAGAGGAAAATGCCAGCCAGCCCTTAACAGCACTACTAAGGCATGAATGTGCAGACCGACTTCTTGTGTTCAACCTGTGACTACGAAGTCTGCCAAGACTCTAGCCTCCCGCAGAGAACTTGCAATCCATCCTGTCCTGGGTAAGTGGGCTGGGCATGCCAGCAAATCGAGAAAATACCCAAGTCCTAACGATGGTGCATTGCTATTGAAATCTCCTTCTTGTTTTTCTAGAGGGGCTTAAGATGACAGCTGAGCCATATACCCACAGCTAGGACACCCGAGCCAAGGAACCGGGTGTGCCTGAGCAATTAACATTTAGCTAAGAGGGAGGCACACAGAACAAGCTGGTGGTTGGAGCTCTGACTGCCGGATTTGACCCTTCATCCTGTCAATGTTCTAGCTGCAACTGAGGAAGGCCAGTAGGAAGGACAAACCTGCCATAAATCATCACTAACAGAAACTCTGGACACCCCACCTAGAAACGGGGGAGGCCAACGGCGAGAGCATTAACGAGATGGCTACCCGTTTACTGAGCATTGTGTGCCAGACACACCAAGCACTTAATCTAGATTATCTATCACCCTCACTAGGGAGTAGGTGTTGCTATTCCTATCTACCTAAGAGGAAACTGAGGCCCAGAGAGGTTAAGGGCTTTGCCCAAGTGACCCAGCTGGTATATGTCTGGTTCCAAGCTCATAACCACTGTGGGTATATCCAGGTTTCCAGGGTGGAGCAGCAGAAGCAGGAAAGTCTCAGGCAAATGAAGCTTCTCTCGTGGGTGGAAAGGAGGCAGCCAGAGAAAAGAACTCTTGGAGAGTGAAAAAAATAAGGACGCAAGATACAAGACTCAGTCACTCCTAGGTAGGGGCTCGACTCTCAGTCTAGAATGATCCTGAAAAAAACTCAAGTTCTCCCTACCCCTCCAAATGTGAGAAGCCAACTGTTGCTCCTCCCAGGTCCTGGGGCCAGGGAAGGCATACACAAACAGGTCACCAGCTGCATCTTTAAGTCCAGTCACATCGGCTGCCCTGCTTTTTATAGATGGCAAATGGATGCTTTGACTTTCATTCTCCCTCTCTCCCAACCCAGGTGGGTGACAGGGCCAAAGGTGGGTAGATGGCTAGCAGGAAGTGGCTGAGAGGGCAGTGCGCGCCACAAATAGAGCTGGCAACAGGATTCCTCACAGACGAGCTTTCTCCCTCGCATAGTTCAAGAGTTGTAAGAATGTGACCACTGGGGACAACGTAAGCAGGTTTAAAGAAACCCAGCCCAAACGGTTTTTATCCCATATTACTTAGTTATAAAACCCCAATTCTCTATTACAGTAGCAGGGCTGCATTTTATGGTTTAAAGCAGTGTTTCTTTCCAGCCCTGTTTTTTCTCTTCTTTGAGTTTGAACCACAAAGTTTACACTGCATGCTTTCCAAAGCTGCTCGCTGCGGCGGTCCCCAATCTGTGTGGCAGCATGGACCAGGGCTTCTTTGAGAACCTAATGCCTGATGATCTGAGGCGGAGCTGAGGCGGTGATGCTGGCACTGGGGAGCGGCTGCAAATGCAGATGAAGCTTCACTCACTTGCCCGCCGCTCACCTCCTGCCATGCAGCCACGGACCAGTACCGGTCCGCAGCCGTGGGGTCAGGCACCTCTCACCTATAGGACAGACCTGGTCCTGCTTATTCTATTCATGGGTTTGACAGAACCCGTGTTTCAGTTCCAATACTCTAGATACAAGAGAATGTGATGAATCGATCACCAGTGATTCTCAGTCCCGCCTGAGACACCATTAACGGAAATCTATCAGAAGGGCCCCAACCTTCTCGACACAATCTAGCCGTCGTGATGTATGGGGAGGGAGTTGGGAACACGAGACTGAGAACAGGAAAAGCAAGATGTTGTTCTCCGACAGATTTATTAGCTTTCAAATTAAATGTTTTAAATTCCTGCAACCCTTTATCAACTTCTTCCAATATCAACAGAGGCCACAGGGTATACTAGCGGCCTCTTAAAAGTCAAACCATATAAAGAGGGTGGCTTTGATTCCTTGGTCTGCCTCCTGAAATGATCTGAGGTGGCTCTGGGTACGCTCTGTAACAATGACAGCACAAAAGCAGGAACAATGAAGCAGAGAAGCAGAAGGTGCCTGCACGGTTTCACCTAAACGTCTCGTCTGTTAGAGTGGAGATGACGCGCCTGTCCTGACAAGTCAGGAACAATGAGCACAGAGTAGCTCTGAAACGGAGGAAGAATCACAAGGCATCGGTTATGGGTGAAGGGAAGTCACCATCTGCGAATGGGCACCAGAATGTCACTGCAGTGGAAGGGGAAAAGGAGTGAGCTGGAGGAGATCCAGGGGCCTCTGCCTACGTTAAAACTGAGTAGCTTCTCTGCCTGCCAGCATCACAGTGTCAACACATTCTGTGTGTGTCTCTCTCCGTCTCACACCCAAGGAAGTACAAACAATTGATGCGGAAATCGGGGGGAATAAAGAACCACTCAGGCCCTCTCTCCTGAAGCAGAGGGGCCTACGGATTATTTTTCATAAAGTCCAAACCTCTGTCCTTGAGGCCTCCCTACCTGTCTCCTTCCATCCTTCCTTGCTTCCCTTTATGAGACAGAGGTAGAGCAGGACCTCTACGTCCTGGCTGCTCCCTGCCTCGGAGCTGCTCTGTGTGGGAAAAGAGCAGGAGGGGCAGCAGATAAAAGAGGAGAGGACTAGGACCGCACCTTTCCGCTGGAAATAGCTTCCATAGTTGGAAGCCACAACTATAAATGGACCAAATCGAGAAGGACCCCGACAGACTACAGAGCATAGTCAGAATGTGCAGGTGTATCCCACTGGTTTGCGATATTAGGATTCTAAGAGCTGCCAAAAATAAGTCGTGTTGTCCACATACCTACTAGCACTTCTGATTTCTGGCTATGATGAAATAAGGCCTATGCCTGTCTCTCTAAGGTTTAGAGTCTTAAATGGGATTAGATGAAGGGAAAAGAGGGAGTAAGTTTTTTAAGAGTAAGGAATTTCACAAAGAATAATGAGTGTTAAGGACACCCCCCTGCAGACGTAGTTTTTAATCTCAGTCACACAACGTTAAGAACTGGTCAGTCCCAGGGGTGCGCCATTTCATTACCTGAGTCAGCTCTCTCCCCCCATATGCTCCACAATGCGGTATAACCAAACGCTGCGTTCATCTAGAATAGAATGTTTAAATAATACCTGTCCAATAACGACCCTTGCTTCTCTGTGCTGCTGGGAAAGGAGGGGAAAAAAAAGATACAAGAAAGCAGCATAACCCAAATCCTTTGCAAGCCAGCTGGTGCCTATCTTCCCAGGGCATTTTTAGTGGGACTTCTGCTAGGCCCTAAGCCCCCACCCCCACATCAGTGAGGGAAGAAGCTGCAAGACAGGTTCGGGCATCTGCACTGGAGTGGAAGGAGAAACCAAACACAAGTTGGGCCACAAGTGGACTCTGGCACGTTTTTAGATGAGGTTAGAAATGTCACGCTGTGCACAGGAAGCAGGCGAAGGAGTTTTCTGAGGGAGGTAATGCCTGTAGGCAGATGAACAGTCCGGCTTACTCTCGGGGAGCTCCTGGTGGGAGGAGCTAGGGGGCCTCCAGGAAGGTGTTGGTTCGGAAGATGGAGGAGACAATCTTGCCGGTGGCGTTGATAGTGCCTTCGCTGTCCGAGCTGGACTCAGAATCACTGCTCCCAGAGTAGGCGCCCAAGCCAGGGAGGATGCCAATGCAGACCGCCGCCGAGGGGCAGTGGATGGACGGGCCACTCAGGGTCGTGCTTCCGAGAGACGCGCAGGACGGGGCTTCTGCAGAGAAGGAGAAGGCCTGTTATTGCATCACTTTTCCACGGCCGATGCACCTCCCAGGGGCCAGGCGCTGGGCCGCGGGCTTCACCTTGGAAGCCTCCAAACAACCCTGCGCGGGCCACACCGCACTCATCGTCACCTTGGAGTGTGTTCCTCGTTTACAACTAGAAAACTGAAGCCACAGTCAGAGCACATTTAAGACCATGCAGAATGTCACCGAGCAGCTGAGGCTCTTTTTGCCCCAGAAAACCAACAGTTATGCTGTCACCTTAGTGACAGAAAGCCTCGATCTGGAAAACGCAGGACTTAAAGGTTAAAGAGAAAGTTACCTCTATTCCACTCCTTCCTTCTACATGTTTCAAGCTTCGTTTATCCCCCATTTTACTGATGAGGGAGGTCAGATGACCTGCTAAGGTTATATGCCGCTTAGAGTAGAAAATGTTAAACGCAATCTGAATCAAAAAATAACTTACTAAAATGATACCTAAGCTCTTACTGCAAAGTAAGAGCTGGAGTTCAAGCTTCATTGTCTCAGGCTGACAAGCATGTTACCATCTAAGGTTTTGTCTTAACGACAACAAAAAAGCTTATGTAAAAATGAAAAGACCACATGGTTCTCAAAATATAAAATTACGAGTAAGCAAAAACTACGCTAACAGGCTGAGAGATTTCAAATGGCCGGGACACAGAGTCCAGGAGCTCAGAATGTCTGCCTGTCGTATTGGAAGTCCTAATAAGAGGGAGAAAAAGGTGATGCTAAAACATGGAGATGTGGAAAAGTGAGACGACAGCTGACGACGACTACAGAGATGGCGACAACAATGCTACAAGAACGGAGAGACACATATTTGCAATAAATACCACAAAAGCTAATTTCTTTAAGATAATAAAGAGTTCTTCCAAAACCAGCCAAGCGAACAACTGAATCGAGAAATGGACAGGAGACATGAACAGTTCACAGAATTTTAAACACGGAGCATAAACAATATATAAGGAGGGAAGGTATGGGGCGTGGGTATCTTTACATGTTGCTGAGGGATGTACAGGCCAATACAGCAATGTCCTTCAAACGTAAATTATGCTCATATGAGAACATTCACTGCAGCATTGCTGATAGCAGCAAGAGACTGAAAACCACCAAAATGTCCATTAAGAGGGGACCAGTGAGGTCGTGGACTACTAACTAGTCAGCCATGAAGAAAAGTATCTCTGTGTTTACTGGTATCAAATGATCCCCAAGACAAAGTGCTGAACGAAAGACGTGAGGGTATGTATAAGTTAGAATTTGTGTGTATGTGTGTCGGGGAACATGCCATGTACATGCATTACATCTGAAAAAAACAAAAACAAAAACGGTAACAGTGGATGCTCCGGGGAGAGAAACAATGGTTGGGGAACAGGGGTGACTTAACTTTTCACTCCGCACTCCTTTGCCCATTTTGCATTTTCTATTATGTGCATATACTACCTGTTCAGACTATTTTTTAAAAAAGTAAATGCAAAAATTTAATGCGCATCTTGGGCCACTTAAATTATGGCAGAACAGTTGCATACAGCTCTATAGCCCCAAGGGCATCCCTGTGCGACAGTCAGGAAGGCTGTGGAAGACTGGACAGTCCCAATGACGAGGGGGATCACTAGTTTGTATTGTCCTCTAACCATAAGTTAGTCTCCTGAGGGCAAGGGATCTTTCTTCATCATACCATCCCCTGGACATATAGCACAGGGCCTGGCACAGAGCAGGCCAGCATTCACAATGAGTGAGAATGCAGGAAAATGTGTTAAAGATATTTTACAGCGTTCCATTGCAAATGGCTAAAATTTTTTGGGGGGGAGGGGTGATGAAAATATAGGCATAACATCAAACTGTAAGCCATTCATTACTTAAATATTCATTGTATTATTATGTCACATATACAATGATATTTTCAGTACTCTTAGAAAAGCTTGGTAAAAAAATCTCAAAAACCTAATATCTTATAAGGGTATGAATCAGTTACTTAGAAAAGTAATTTTTGTGAAGCTGCTCAGTGAGCTTTGTCATTTTATTAGGTATTTCAAAGGTGAACCGAATTTTCTTAGACAGAAAAGAAGGATCAGGTTTAGAGTACCTATGGCGGATGAGAGCTGCCCGATGGGAAGGATGGAAGTCAGCCATAGGAATGCAACCAAGAATCTACACCACTGTGGCATTAGCAGAGTTTAAGCCAAAAGACCAAATCTCCCAATCATCTAGGTTTCAAGAAAGAAAAGACTGCGACTCTGACAAATTTCATTGCAAAGCAGTTAACTGTCCAAAGAGAACAAAGTGGTGCCCTCCGATCTCACTCATTTGGTAAGTTTCCTGCCAACTTCTGCATTTGCAGGACCACATTGTTATACCAAATTAACACTGAAAATTACTAATAGAGAATGTTCTTGGGATGCAGACAGATGCGTGACTTGAGAGTAGATGGGTCCACTTGTGCATTCGCAGGCTCTGCTCAGAGCTTAAGTCCAGAGACTCCAGTGGGGGCAGCCTCGCTCTCCATTGGGGTCACAGAGCTATCTTCTGGGGGACCAAGGGGACAAATGCTTCTACTGCTGAGGACAAGACGCTGAAGCAAGATACAGGAGATATTCTTCTAGTATGGCCTCAGCTCCAAGCAAAAGAGGATGTTCCCTGCCCAGCTTTTGCAGCAAGAATACAGGAAGGGGTGGGAAGAAGGGATTCAGAATGACAAAAAAAATGGCTCTGAAACACAAGTGTCTGACTCAGATAGTTTAAAGATCCCACACAAGTTTTCCTTTCCACTGATTCATGCAAATAGTTCTAATCAGGGAATAAGCACCAGATACAGAGCTACTGGTTAACTAGCTGAAGTATGTTTAAGATTTCTATGAAGTATTATATACAGGTGTGTGTGCATACACACACAGACACACACACACACACAGTATACACTTACCCTATTTATGCAGCCACTTGCAGTTTAGCAAGATTCCTATATGTTAAGATATCAGTGAAATGAACTCGTACATTGCTGATGGGAATGTAAACTAGGATAACTTCTTTACAGGGCAATTTGGCAGTATTTACCTAAATTACAAAGGTATAATCTCTCTGACCCCATGATTCTAAGTATTTAGGCTGGTACCTTTATGGATATGAAAAGTGATGCATGAGTACAGCATTATTTAATATAACATAACAGAAAGAATGGAAACAATCTAAATGTTCATCAATAAAAAATGGGATACATATTCAATGGTACGATCATATAATGGAATATTAAGCAGCCTTAAAAAGGAACAAAGAAATGTACAGATATGCAATAATTCCCAAGGTACAATAACAAGTAAACTAAGCATTGAACAGAGGAGTATGCTAATTAAAACAGTAATGATGAGAAGTACAACAATAACATATGAAGTATTCCTGCAAAAAAATCAGCCTGAATTGATCAAGCTCTAGATCTAACTACCATTTTACCGGACCACAGGTTAGAGTATAAAGGAACACCATGGGAATACGATCAGCAAAATCTAGAGTGTGGGAAAATCCACAGGACAAAACAGTTTCTTCACAAATAAAATATAAAGAAAACAAAAACTAAATTAAAAAGGAGGAAGACCTACAGGTTAAACGAGAGTTAAAAGACATATTAGTCTATTGTTAAGATGCCATAAGATGGCAGTATTCCCAAACTGATCTACAGATCCAAGCAATCCCTATCAATATCCTAGCTGCTTTTTTTTTTTGTAGAAATTGACTATTTGACCCCAACATTCACATGGAAATGAAAGGGATCTGGAAAAGGAACAAAGTTGGAAGACTCACACTTTTCCAATTTCAAAACTTACTGCAAAGCTATTTAGTGATCAAGACTGTGGTAATGGCATTAAGATAGACATATATAAATCGATGGAAAAGAAAAGAGAGTCCAGAAATAAACCTACATATGGTCAACTGATTTTCAACAAAAGTGTCATGACAATTCAGTGGGGAAAAGAATAAATAGTCTTTTCAACAAATGGTGCTGGGCCAATAGGACATCCGCACAGAATGAAACTGGATCCCTACTCACACCATATACAAAAATTAACTCAAAATGGATCAACAACAAAAATATAAGAGCTAAAACTCTATAAAACTCTTAGAAGGAAACAAAGGAGTAAATCTTCATAGGCGATGGTTTCTTGGACACAACAACTAAAGTACAAGAAACCAAAGAAAAAAATAAATTAGATGTTATCAAAATTTAAAACTTTTGTGCTCCAAAGGACACGATCAAGAAAGTGAAGCTACAACCCACAGAAAAGGAGAAAATGTTCATAAATAATATATCTGAGAAGTGTCTCATATCCAGAATACACAAAGAACCCTTACGACTCAACAACAGACAATCCAATTTAAAAACAGTCTCAGGATTTGAGTATTTTTCCAAAGAAGATATGCAAATGGCCAATAAGTACATGATGCCAATACCATTAGTCATTAGGAAAATGCAAACCAAAAACCACAATGAAATATCACTTCAGACTCACAAAGGTGAATTAAAAAAAAAAGTATTGAAAAGGTCGTGAAGAAACTGGAACTCTCACATATTGCTGGTAGAATGTAAAAATGGTACAGCCAATTTGGAATTCAATTTGGCACTTCTGCAAAAAAGTTAAACATAGTTACCATATTACCCAGCAGCTCCTTTCCTAGCTTCATACCCGAGTACTGAAAACAGTGGTTCACACAAGAACTTGTACGTGAATATTCATAACAGCATGATTCATAATAGCCAAAAAGTAGAAACAACCCAAATGTTCATCAACTGATGAATGGACAAAATGTGGCATACCGTATAATGGAATATTATTCAGCTGTGAAAAGTATTGATACATGCTACAATGCGGATGAACTTTGAAAACATGTGAAGTGAAAAAGCCAGACACAAAAGGCCATGTATTGCATGATTTCATTTATGTGAAATGTCTAGAAAAGGCAAATCCATAGAGAGTAGATTAGTAGTTGCCTAATTTACTAATCTAGATTAGTAGCAGCTGGGGAGAGGGAAGAATGGGGAGTAACTGCTCATAGGCATGGCGTTTCTTTTTGAGGTGATAAAAATGTTTTGGAATTAGATAGTGGGATAATGAATATACAGCCTTGTGACCCTACTAAGTGTATTTCATACTGAATTGTATCCTTTAAAAGAGAGAATTTTATGCTATGTGAATTACATCACAATAATTTTTTAAGCCATATGGCCAATGTCTGATTCTCACTGGAATCTGATTTTTAAAAAAACAATTGTCAAAAAAATTTTATGGGAAAATGAATACTACTTTGATATTTGATAAGATTTAGAAATTATTATAATTATTTTAGGTGTGATAATGGTACTGCAATTATGTTAAAAACAAATAAAACGACTCTTATTTTTTAGGGAATTACGTATGAAACAATCTGATGTCTGAGATTTGCCTCAAAATACTACAGTTAGGGAGGCATAAATGAAATAAAATTGGGTATGTGTCAAAAATTGTTGAAGCTACATGATGGGGTTCATTGTATCATTATCTCAATGTCTGAGTATGTTTTAAGTCATCTATAATAAAACTTTTTTAAAGAATATATTTCTAATTGCTTGAAGATACATAGAATAGCTCGAGATGGATACATACGAAATGTATGGTACTGTTCCCCTTTGGGAAAGAGAATTGGATGGAAGATGATATATAGGCAGAAGTGAGACTTCACTGAATGTCCTTTTTAAAAGTAGATTCTACACCAAAAGTTATCAAGCAACAGCTGACCATTACCAGTGCTTAGTAGTTACATATTTTTAAAGTCCATTACTTTTTTTTGAAAGAGAAACACATGTAAGCCCTGTTTTAGAGATGACCCATTGAGTTTAGCTCAGTCTCAATCCCACAGGGATTTAGGGGTAGATCCGAAAACACTCTTGAATTTCTAATTCCTGATCCGACCCCTGAATACACTCACCTTCACTTAAAACTGTGCCACTTAATACAGTGCCAGATTTGATCACATAAAAGTGACCACCAAAGAAAGTGTACTCCTGGAAACTGTATTAAGCCTCTAGGTTCAATCCAGTCCAACCATCAGCAGGAGCCAGGTATTCGACCTCTCACTGGTAGCAAGCCAGGTGAAACCAAGAAACTTGACATTAGGGGAGACAGAAAAAAATCTCTTTGTGAGCAGAAGTGATATGACCAGGGCTTTGGCTTTGTAAGCACTCCTAGGGAGCACACTGGTCATTTATCAGTTCCACTGGTTTCTAACATATTATGACTCTGCAGGGCAGCTGACACATTCTTGGGTATTAAATCTTGCCTGGTACAAAACAGTTTGGTACAGTAAGTTTAGGTAGGCTTGCTTAAAGATAAATGCATCCATTCATAGGTACAATGCATTCCAGCCCTTTACTGTGGTCATGTGCCTTATGAGTAAAGAACAAAGTGAAAGATGCCACCTACCTTGATTCTTGTCTTCTGGGTCAGGGTCCGATTTCAGCCTTTTCACACTGTTGCCACTCTCTGAGCTGTAACAGAAAACATGGTGATATGAGCTGCGTCCAATCTTGGGGATCAAAGTTTTGGGAATGAGAAGCTCCATAACCATTTATATGGGTCTTAGGTAGCCTCAAGGAGATGGAATGATCTGAAATGAAAAGTTTTCACTTCAAAGTCTCCTTCCGGTTATATTGTTACAATAACTACTTAACCCCCCCCTGCCCAATTCAAGGGGTAAAGCGTTACATGTCAAGCATAACCTAAACTTCAGATTCTTTGTTGTCCTTATCATTTATCTTAGTTAGAACCACAGATGGATTTCGAGACAACTTAGACATGTTCATAAATGACAAAAACTTAGTTATTAAAGACTGAAAGAAACATCTTTAGTGACATGCTAGAGATTCTGAAAGTCACCCAAAAGACCTTCACTAAAAGAACATATAAACGTGTACTTCAACAAGGAAGGAAACGATCCCAGAACGAAGGCCTTAATCCAAAAAGAGATGGTGAAAAAGACACTGGCTAATACAAATATAAAGCTAAACGAATGTTGTCTGTATAAAAAAATAACATCTAATTTATGGTGTTAAACATGACCATACTGAAGTCCTAGGCAGTACTAGCATGTATAAAATGAAGAGGGTGACTGTGGCTAAAAGTTCTAAGGACCACGTATAATTTTGTAGGAAAGTAAGATACCTATTTACTTTAGGTTTTGCTAAGTGTGCCTCGTAAATTGCAAGGTTAGTCACCAAAAGAGTAAAAATAGACTACATAAATCCAAATTAGTAAAAAGAAAAATATTTTTTAATCTTAATATTTTTAAAAGCAAAAAGAAAAAAATTTTAAGTAAAAAGACAAACGTTAAGATAGTAAAAACATCAAAAATCCTAAATCCAAACCTACCAGTAAAAAGAGATCAAAACTAAATTGTAAATCAGCTATTATGAGACACAACTAAAAACTTGATGAAATGAGACGATTACAGATATAGCAGCAATAAGAAAAATAAAAAAATACTAACGACTTTAGCTAATGCATTAGAAATAAGACGAAATGGACGAATACCCAGAAAATACAACCAAATAAAACTGACTTAAAAAGATACGGATAAACTTAAATAGTCCTATAATCAGAAATTTTAAAAAAAGAGTGACCAAAATGACTTTACAGGAGTTATTTCAAACTTTTACAAAACAGAACACTATATCTTACACAAATTCCTCCAGAGAACAGAAAAAAAGGGAACACTTCTTACATCATTCTATGAAGCTAGTTTTAATCTTCATGTGAAAATTAGATAAACTGAGGAAAACAATACAGGCCAGTATCACTCAAAAACATAGATTCAACAACTGATATAAAAATATTAGCAAAGCAAACCAGAGTTGAAAAAAAAATGATATATTACTGCCAAGCTGGGTTACTCACAGAGATATCACATTAGAAAAATCTATAAGTTTAATTTTTTACTGTAACAGAGTAAAGAAAAAAAAGATCAATTCAAAAGCAGAAAAACAAACAGACAAAATTTAACAGTTCATGGCTACAAAAATCCTTAGCAAACTAGAAACAGAACTCCCAAAGTTCTGTTAACCTTCCAAAGGATACCTGAAAAAAAAGAAATGATAAATACATCCTTAGTAAAAAAGTTATACACATATTCTGTTTAAAATTAGAGATAAAACAAGAATGTGCACAGGAACTGTTTCTATCTAACATTTTACTGGTCTAGCCAATGCAGTAAGATAAGAAAAAGGAATTAAAAGGTATAAGAGAATAAAACTGTCATTATTTATAGATGGTAACTCTCTATATAGAAATTTCAAAAGAATCCACTGACAAATTATTGATGTTAATAAGAGTTACTAGAGAATTATTATTAAAGTTAATAAGAGCTGGGAGGCTGGATGTAGAGTTTCCATCGATTGTACTTTTACATAACAGCACCAAAAAATATAAAACTTAAAAATAAATTTAACAAAAGATGTAACTTTTTGTGAAAGACAACCGTAAGACTTTACAGAATGACAATACCAATAAATGTTGACATATGGCAGGGCTAGAAAGACTCAAATCCATAAAGATCTGTTTTCTCCATAGATTTATCAAGAATTTAATAATATTCCAGTAAAAATCACAGTAAGAGATTTTTTAAGAACTTAAACTAAATCTAAAATGAAGAACAAAGTGGCCCAAACCCAGAATAGCCAACATGTTTTGAAGGACAAGATCAAAGTTTGAGGATAGATTCCCTACCATACCAAGATTTATTATAAAGCTACAATAATTACACAGAGTGGTACTGCTCCAACAGATCCAAGGAACAGAAAAAGAGAACCCCCAAACAAACCCATATATGTATGGAAACTTGTTAAAAGACAGAGGTGACATTGAAGATAACTAGGGAAAACAGGCAGAAATATTTAGTAAATATTGCTAGAAAACTGGCCTTTAATTTGAAGAAAAAAACTGAAATGGGATCCCTTCTTCATACTCTTCACAAAAATCAATTCCAGACAGATTAAAGGCTAAGATGTGAAAGATAAAACTCTAAAACTTTCAGAAGAAAAACTATTTTATGACCTCAGTGTAGGAAGTATTTCTTGAACAAAATATAAAATGCTTTTACCATAAAAGAAAATATTGATATACCTGACTCTCTTAAAATTGACCACCTTCAAAAGGTACAAACTTCCATTTATAAAATAAATGTCTTGGGATGTACAGTATGGTGACTATGGTCAATATTTGCATGTCAATATATTTCCAAGTTGCTAAGAGAGTAGAGTTTGAAGTTCTCATCACAAAAAAAAAAAATTGTAACTATATATGGAGAGGGATGTTAACCAGATTTAGACTCCCAGACCTCACTCCAAACTTACTGAACTAGAATTTGTGTGAGGCCTGGAAGCCCCATTAACAAACTCTGAAGTGGTTCTAATCAACACAGTCTGGATACATTAGAACTACCCCAGGAGACTAATCTATGCTACACAAAACAACAATAAAGAATGTAGTTTCAAAACCTAAAAAGGGGTTATATGCATGTCACCAAATATGCCCTTTTGAAAAGTGCCGAAGACTGTAGGGAGATAGTAATGACACCATTCTGCTAGCAGCAAGACACCGCTGAGAAATAACTTACTGTCCACCTAGAGTGCCCTTTCTTGGCACTGTCCAGTAAAACTGACCCAGGTCCAAATCTTGAAAGATAATGGGCCAGGCATGAAAGCTTATGTGAAAACTTGAAAGGAACAATTCACAGCTGTGGTTAAGTGGCTCTTCACAGGCTACTAGTCCTCCTCCCCTCTGCTGCTATGCATACCATGACGACGTTTTACATGTAAGTAATGTTCCTAGAACAGCTGCAACAGATGGACGGTGCGCCAAACCACAAGACTGCATCAGTACACTCCCTTCACAGCATGTGGCTGGTTGATGGCCTATCACATTGATTTCCTTAATAGACTGCACTTAAAGTTTACATCATTTTGTGTATAGTATGGCTAGTCAAATGGAAAGGACCAGATTTAATCACTTTGGTGCCATTTCAGGATTTGGAGAGGAGCAAAAATAACGAACTTATCAAAACCTCTAGGCAGTGTTGCTGCCCCCACATCAATCGAGCAGAGCCCTGTCAGGCCCATAACGCTGTCGCAGCTGCCATGTCCTTACAGGACACAATGCCTTTGCGGCAGCTGCTCCTCCTGCCTGGAACCTTCTCCTCTCCCGTCTGTCTAAGCCCTAGTCATCCTACCCAAATCAGTATTTCCTTTCTAACACCTTCCCTAACTTCTCCATCATGACCACACAAACCCTCTTTAGGACGAGTTATGTGTTTCCTCCTCTATAGAACTTGCTAAGTCGTTTGCCAAGAAACATAAATGGTCAAATGTTGAACTCCACCTCTTATTATTTTGTGGCTTTGGAAAAATGTTCTCATCTTCTCAAATTCTCCGTCTCCTCATCTGATAATAATAACTTGTATTTCATAGACTTGTTGGGAGGAATAAATGAGATTATGCATTAAAAGCACTTAACACAATGCCCGGCACACATCAGGGACCAAATGAAGAGTAGCTATTTATGATGCTCAATGAACAATCAGAGAGATAAGGATCAAAGGCTATAGGAAGATAGCAAATCTGAAAGGGGAGAGAGGTCAGGCTACCAAAGGGACTTCACTGAGACTTATGCTTAGGTAACCTTTTGCTCTGGATACATGACAAGTGACATTTCAGAGCACACGGTCAGAGGGAGATTTAAGTTGTCCAAGTGCTGGCTCACCTCTTATGCTTCACAGCTCCTGCCAACAGCTTTGCCTGGGAGAACTTATTCTTGGTTTCTATGGGTTTCACAGCCACTTTCTTCTCCACTTCTTTCTTGTTTTCTGGAGAAATTCCAACCTTGTTGAGATTACTGTGAGTTAAAGGTTAAGGGTCAAACTAAGCAAAAAGAAGAGATATGGTGGAACAATGGTAAATCAAGAGAAGGAACACAAATATAATCCACTAGCACTTCAGATTTGTCGAGCATTGTTTAGCCTACTTATTAAAAAAAAAAGCACTTCCCTCTTTATTCCGCCAGTCAGATCCAGTTGATTTAAAGAGAAATTGAAGGTGGCTAGAGAGGAAGATGGCAAATCAAGCACAAAATACAAAACTTTTCCCTCAGATTCTCAATGAAAATCTGAGTACAGCCAGAAAACCTGCTATTTACCAAAGACATAGTCGATACCACGCTTGCTGGGAAAAACAAAAATCTTAAGCAATATAAATGCAACAGAAAAAAATGTGGCTTCTTTAAAAACAGAAAATGTTTGTTTCCTCCTTAAGGGTAAAATCAAATTTTGCAGAATGTCCTATGACTATTAATGACATTAAGTCTTAGACAGGACAAGGACTAACTCCTATTATGCTGATACAGGGCAACATCCAAATCACTTAAGGCTCAATAAAAAACAGAGTCTCTCCCCTGTCCCAAACCTATTAAATGCGGGCCACCAGAGGCCTAGGAACCTGTTTTAACTTCTCAAGGTGATTTTAATGAGAATCCCTTGTGCGTATGTAACACAGCACAAGAACCGAAAAGTTGTTTTTAAAGGCATAATATTCACTTGTGATAGCACTTTTTTCATGCTTGATGTCAATGTCAGGCTTTCAAGGTTTGTCACTTTCTTTTGTTCTCTCCACCAGCCTCTTCCCCACCTTCCTTTTCATTTTCTCTCTTCCAACCTATTATGCAATAGGTAAGTACTCTAACATGGTGCATGCAATTCCTTAGTTAAGATGCAGTAGTACCTTATTGGAACAATAGTGACATCTAGTGCTCAAGATATCTAAGAGGCACGTATTATCAACCCTGCCAAATCAAGCACATAAAGAGCTGGGGGTGGGGGTATATAGTCTAAGCTATTTATTTGTCTTTAAACATTGGAGAAAACTGGGTACCAGAAATAAAGAAATTCTAATTCTGATCGCTCTTCAGCAACCAGCTGAGACCAGAGCTCTTACGGACACCAGTTACCTTAAATGTTTGTGATGTTCAGTGGGGATTACTCAATGCTCACACTATTCCCGTTTCGTCAATTTAATGTTTTTAAGGTCATTGTGGAAACATAAATACTAAATGTTCACTTTTCTAAGAATAAAAATGAAAGAAACAATTTTATCTAATACAGAATGCCAAAACCATGAGCATGCTGATTTTTACCTGCAAAAGGGACAAAAACGCTCAAAGAAAATTCTTAATATTAAATATCGAAAAAAATTTAAAAAGGAAATAACACGAAAGCACACACGTGTTCATAAGATCAGGACACAGACAAAAACCAACACTTAATTTTTTACTCTTTTAATTTAGATGAAAAGCGTTCAAGCTTTTAAGGGAGAAGATGGAAGGAGGTGGTAATAATATTATTTTTGATCTATACCCAAAGCATAAGCAATTTTTCCCCTGAAGTCCCTCTCCCCCTACAATGCTTTAAATAAACACACCTTAAAAATCTCAAGGAATTCATTAAATGAAGCACTTTTAAAAATCACAGTTTTTAATACACATAATTTTGCTAAATGCTGGTTAACCTGAAGGAAATAACAGTTCTGTTGTTGTTTATATGGCACAAACCACTGCTTATTTGTATTCACGAGTATCAATCACATTATAAAATAAATCATATTATAATAATCAAGCAAAGCTAAGAACCAGCCCCTGGTTTAGAGCTTCCATAAACAAATGTCTAATCCTTCAATTCCTATCTCAACGTGTCTCTGGCAACACACATGGCTGGGATTAGTGCATTAAACATCAGTGGTCTGGAAAGCTTGCTTTTCTTCAGTTTTTCTAAACAGTCAGAACTTTCCAAGTTTCCAGTGAAAGCCAATACCCCTGGGGCCTCTTCCATGTTGTACTATAATATCACCAGGACAGAAAAGTTTCTTTTGTCTCACTGCCTCCCTGTTCATTCTTCCCTTTGAATTGAAAACCGAAGGGCCTTTCCCACTCATACCATACCAACACTGCTTTCCAGAATGCTGCTTTGGGACACACACTCTGTCTTATTTGCTAGCCTGCCAAATTACGCATATAAAGTAGGACAATTCAAGGGATAAGTTTTAATCAATGTATTTCCTTAGAGGAAAAAGTCTGGTGCCTGAAACAATTCAATACATATATCTGCCCATTCTGCAAACATCAATGCATAATATTATTCTGAGGTCAGCAAGGAAGGGAGTGGGAGAGGGGAGCTTCAGAAGAATCAGCTGGAACTGACGTGTGCCTTTCCATCAACTCCTATCTTGACGTTACACCAGAGTTCTACTAGGAGAACTGGGACTGAAGCCAGGTCTTTCGCCACCAGTGCAGAGCAGGTTTTATAGCACCGTGCTGCCACCTTATCTCAATCAGTGTCTGTCACCTTGATGTAAACCTAATCTCTGGGAATCTACACACACCGTCTCCCGTATAACTCTTTAATGGAAGCTACTGCACACACCCTGCAAAAAAATACCAACTCACACATACATGCAGTGTCTTATCAATCTTAGAGGTGAAGCCTGTTCAATCGCGCTAGTAAGGTTATTCAACATATAAATTTGAAACATTCAAATAAGATTTCTCATAGGAGAAAAAAGAACTAAGGTGGCCTTAATCTTTCCTATGAGTCATTCATTAAGTTATTCACGTATACACTGAGAACCCACTATATGCCAGGGACTGGGAAATCAGCGGAGACCAAGCCCTTGTTCTTGTGCTTACTTTACATTCCAGCAGTAAAGGGGCAAACACACCAGTAAAAAGCAAATAAATTAAGATTCCTCCGGCAGTGACAAGTACTATTTGAAACTGACGTAGTGATTAGAGTGGGTTCAACTTTAGATGGGGAGCTTAGTGAAAGTCTCTATGAGGAAGGGAGAAGTGAACTGGGACCATGAAATGCCAGCCTTGTAAAATCTGAGGGCAGAGCATTCCAGGACAGGGAGAAAAGAAATACAAAGGCCTTGAGATGGAATCACAAAGCTCGGTGAGAGAGGAACATAAAAAAGGCCAGTAGGCTGCGGTACGGCCACTAATAGGAAGACTAAGTTCAAGATGCGACAGGGAGGTGGGTTGGCCTAAATAATGCGGAGCCCTGTAGGGCCGGATAAAGAATATAGATTTACGTTAAAATGCAACAGGAAGCCACTAGTGTTTCCAACAGGAAAGTGACACGATTCTATGTATGTTTTTGAAAGTTCCCTTTGACTGTTGCTTGGAGAAGGGATTCTTGGGGACAAGAGTATAAGCAGAGACTAATTAGACGGTTGTAGTATTCCAGCTACTGCAATGGCAGCAGAGACAGCAGAAATGCACAGATTGGGAGTACATTTTGGAGGTAATTTTTAGCCTAGTCACCTGCAATACAAAAGTATCCTTACTGAAATTGGGGAAAAAAAAAAAAAGATTGGGGGGCGCAGTGTGATGAGGTGGGGGTACTGAGGCATGGAACTGAGAATTTTGATTTAGCCAAGTTACGTTTGGGGTGCCTATCAGAACATTCAAGTGGCTGTCAAAAAGGCACTACTAAGCCAAAACAGTCATTTTTGTTGTTTTCTCTACCCCTTTATGGGCGCAGACCTGGCTGTACTTGTAGGGAAGGTGACTGAGGACCCAGGAGAGTAGTTTAACATTTTCTTTTAAAACTCAGAAGCTAATTTCTCCCCTGGATGAGGTTTATTGCCAATCTGTTTCAGAGTCTAATCCTACGAGGCAAGAATATCCTGGTACTGACTATTAGGATTTAGGCCTTTAGTTAATCCTTCAGGATCTGGACTTTTGATTGCAACAGACTCTTACATGCAACAGAACTCCATAAATCACTGCCAGTTATGAAGTCACGAAAATATCATCGTTGAAAGGAAACTCAAGAGTTCACCAAGCAGATCTTCATTCTATTTATGAATAAACTAAATCCGTAGACATTGATGGGAAAACCGACACCTTACAGACTTCTCTCAAAGTACAAAGGATATTCTGTATTCCTTCAGTTCTTTCAGTTCTTCCTCTCTTCGCTGCTTTTCAAAAAAAACGAGAAACCTCGTCAAGGAAGTTGGTCTCATCTTCATCTAAGCCTCTTACCATGTTTTCTGAGGAAATAATTAAACAAGGAACACTTAGCAGGCTAAAGGGAAAATATAGTCAAATAAGATTTTTCCTTTTTCTTTTTTTTTTAATAAACAGCAGATCCTTCGGGGGATTAGAAGAAAGAATTTGTAAATAACGTGGCTTTCGAATAGATAACATGGCATAAAATCAAGGCATTTCTCCCATTACTAGATATTAGCATAGAATTAAAATGGGTATCTTGAGCTCTAAACAAAAATGTTCAACGTGGCTAACAGGCAGAAGTTTGTCTCTTTTCCACCTAATGAGCATTTAGAGACTAAGATAATCAAGACAATTCCATGGCTAGTTAGAAAAAGTGTTGCATGAGGCCAACGTGCATCAAAAAGACCCCGCGGAGTCCCTTGGATTCTGTGTTTTCTAAAGCTTACTGAATTTGAACTGCTCCTCGTACTCCTGCTGCTTCCTGTCTTTCTGTTCCTGCAGCCTTTCATATAGAGACCGAGGGTCATAAACCTCCTCTGGACATTCTGAAAGGAAAAGGAAGGGAGAGAAAAAGGAGGAGAGATGGGGAGGGGAAAAAAGATACACACTTTAGAACGCTTTCATATTATTTTGGAATCGCAAAAGATTTTAAAGATCAAGTCCACTTTCTGCACGATCCTGAGGGCAAGGATAACACAAAAATAGGACAAAATCCACAGCTTCCCTTTGGACTTCAGAGAGTGACCAGCAGTTCTCAAAGCCAGCTGTCTGTCAACAGGGCCCATAGCCTGAGACAGTTAACTGTCTTGGAAATTAGATGAGGAGCCGGCCCAAACCCTACAGAGCAGCAGCATTCTCAGTTGCTCAGATCCCAGATACACCCGTATAGATGAAACAGACTAGCGGGATCTCCTGGAAGATAGTGTGGTAGAGTGGAAAGGTCAAGGGTAAGTAGGAGTATCCTGGTTCTGCTCCCAGCTGTGGAGGCCTAACACAGGGTTCCTTCACCCGTCCGAGGCGTGGTCGTCTACTCTAAAGCGAGGACAGCGTTACCTACTTGCAGGGTCAGTGTGAGGACTGAGATCATGACGCTGAACGCCAAGCTATAAGCCCATGTACCTTCCGGGTCTTCGGGTTTTCGAACTTTCTCCCATTCCTCTTGCCTCCTTTTGCGCCGCTCATCTAGTTCTGCCTCTGACACAAACCTCTTTTTGATAACAAGGTTGCCATCATCCCCTCCATCCATAATGGAACAATCAGTCTACAGAAAACAAACAAAACATTTCAAGTGAGAAATGCAATTCAGATTCTAAAGAGAAACAAGAAAATTCAGCTTTGTCTCACCCAGCAGTGGACTATCTCGAAATTCCCTATGACCTTGAATTGAAGAAATCTTCAAGTACTTTAATGCACTGATTGTTGACGAAAGCACATGATTACATTTTTCCTACTGTATCAAGTAGTTTTATTAACAATACGTTGTCTACAGTCAGTGGGAGGACTTGAATAATTCTCATTACATGCTGTTCTACAATAATCTTACTTTGCAGATACTTCTCTGCCCCTCTAATCTAGGGACATATTGGCCTCTTGGGCACCCTATCTTTTTCCCAGTTCTCATCCTCCTTTAATTCTGTAACATCTAGTATTGTTCGTTCTCGAAATTCCCGTTTCAAGGATATTATACTATCTCAATTCGCCTGTTCTTGTTTCCCAGTAGATCCAGAGTGGAGAAACTCAGGTACTTAGGGAGACTTAGAGATCAAGCCTGGTCGGCACAGCAGCGAAGTGATAAGCCTAGGGCACACAAACCATGAATGGAAAAAAGGAAACTAGAAGAACTCAGATTTCCCAGCTTCAGGTTCAATGTACTCTGCACTAAACTTAACTGACTCCCCGTCTCCTTCCTGATCTCCCTCCCTGTAAACTCCGTTGTCTGTGCCACTTGAGATTCTATCTTTGATCCTCCTCTTTCCTCACTCCCACAATGACCTCGACCACTTTATGTGTATCTTGATGCAGAAGACTCCCAAATCTCAATCTATAACTTCACCTGCACCTCTCCAGAAAGGAGGGGCGAAGGAATAAAGACAGAGGAGTGTGCATTACTCCTTCAAAGATAAACTTTTCTGCTTTTCTTTGCTGGTGCCTTTCCTTTTGAAGAATTGTGGAATTGTCTCTCAGACATGTTGTGGTGTTCACAGAATTACATCCTAACAAAGAAGCACATATTCAGCACTACTGGCACATCAATTCGATGTTCATTTCAGGACGATGCCTAATAACAACGATAAGTCTCTACTGCTAGCACAGAAATAAAGTACCAACCATTTACTGAATCCTTACCATGCACTGAATACTTTTTATGTTTTATTACCTCCTTTACACTCACACTGACCCTATGGGAAATATTATCTCTTTACAGATGAAGACATTGAGGCCCAGAGAAGTTAGGTCACTTGTCTAAGGTGATAAGGTTGGTGAATGGTAGAGCTGAGAATCAAATCCAGGCCTGACATCAAAAATTCGTACTCTTGTCCACTTCACCATACCCCTCTCCAGAAACCAGGGATCCTGGTTAAAAAGAAGGACATGTCAATTTCAGCTTTCTTCCTACATCAAATTCCAGTGCTGAGAATGTTCATGTAACATTTTTCTTCAATAACGATGAAATGGAAGCTGAGAAAATAAATGCAAACATTCAGAACAAGAGAATAGTCTCAGCCTAAGCCCTACTGTTGCTGAAGTTTAGTTCAATATAACAAGAGGAGAATTTTGAAATTTACAAGAAAACCAAACCAACTGACAGAAGCTGTTGCTCCTACCTAAAGCTCACAACCTGGATACTTCTGACTTAGCCTAACTCAGCGTCTCCCGCCAGAAGCCTACGACAGAGGCAGAACTTTTCAGTCTCTGTGCTCATGCCAAACATTCCTCAAGTTCTACAGAATGACCCCTTATGAAACAAGTACCAACATTTTCTTAGATGTCCCTAGCATAGAAAATGTCAACTATGTAGGGCTCTAATAAATGGGAGAGGCATACTGGACCCTCGATTTCTCCCTCTTTTAGCTCTATCTCTCATTTCTTGCCCTATATTGGTGGCAGTCTGGTGTCTCCCAATCACCCTTGTTTCCTGATAAATAATTCAGTGGGTCAGGTCCTTATAGCCCACCTAATACGATTCCCCATCTGGCATCTGGAGATTTTCATCCAATCCGTATTTTAAAACTTCAAGATGGACCACCACACTCCCTCTCAGCCAGCGGACTCTGAGCACATCTACTGGTCGGAGAGTTCTTCCTTAAACTAAACTGAAATCTGTCTCCCTAAAAATTCCACACATACGTTCAATCCACTGGGACTACACAAAAGGAGCCAAATCCTTTTTCAACATGATATTGTTTCAGCTGAAGACAACTCCCATGTTCTTCCTAATTTGTCTCTTCTGCGCCAAACATCTCTAGTTCCTTTAATCTTATAAAAATAGAGAAAAATAATAGTGTCTCAAAGCAGTGAATTTATCAGATTGCATACGATTTAAACCTGGGGAATAAATACTGGGATACGGCAATGCCACTGGCATTCTATTAAATGCATCTCTTCACTCTCATTTTACATTTAAAAAATGAAAATTATATTGATACCGAAAACAATATTCCAAAAGGCCCAAATAAAACCTAGAATCTGACATGCTTCCTTCTAAATAAAAATTCAGAGACTAAAGATTTATTCTTATAACTCAAAATTAAGAAAAGAAAACCATTTATTTTAATTGTCATGGTCTGTTGAGGTTTTGGAACAAGAAGAACCTATTTTCATTTAACTTTAAGAAAGATCCCTGAAACTCGGGATACATGTAAATAAGGGCTTGAATCTGAAATAGAAACTAGAGAAAAATAAGGATATTCCCAACATTTACCAATCACTTTTGGGAAAACACTAACTGATGAGATTCTAAGAAATTCTTCCTCTCTTTTTCGTCAATCTTTTTCTCTTAAGTGTTGGAATTCAACATCTACCCAAAGAGTGAGTCTGTGTGATTACCCATCCATCTTTCGCACACAGAGACAAAACCAGGAATCGCAGTTGGTTAATGAAAATGAGAGTAAAGCAGCAGCACATTTTAAAGAAGGAAATTTAAAGGCAATGGCTTTAGAATTTGATAGAGAAACTCTACTTCTCAGCTCTCAACGGGCTGGTTTCCTGAAAAAAGTCACATAATCAAAGCTAATGAACACTTATAAGTCTGCTCTTTAAAGCTAGTATTATAATCCTGACAATCTTTTGATTCTAAAATAAAGCTAGACGGCCATACCTAATTATAATGAACTTCTGTGAGTTTAGGGACAAGACTAAAACACAGGCTGCTCTATCCATCTCTTCCTTCTGTAGGTCCTCATTGCCCGGCATTTCAACTGTCGCTCTCTCCTAGACTTCAAGTGCCTACAGTGGCTCTCTGGCTAATTAATTTGGTCATCTTTCTATGTTAGGAGAGGTCAAAGACAGGGGCAGAAAATGTTCACAAACAAGTGGCCATACTCTTGAATATTCTGGATAATATGCAGAATATCTTTTTCCAGAAATATGCAGGTCTTTTCAGTCTTCAAAACTTCACTGTCGATAAATGCTGCCAAGAAGCACGCTTAATTTCAGACATCTTTTACTACAACCTCATCTAATTAAACCAATATATAACCAGTACCTTCTGTTGCAGTCTTCTTACCAAGAGGGAGTACAGACGATAATAAAAAAAAAAAAAGTATAGAAGACTGAAATCAAGAGACCCCAGTTCAAAACCTGGTTCTGTCACTTACCAGTTGTATGACCGTGGGCAAGTCACTTAACTCCTCTGAGCCTTGGTTTCCTCATCCACAGACTGCACTCACCAATGGGGATTAAAATAGTACTGCACAACATAAATTTTTTGTAAAGATAAACAAGATAATTCGTGTACAGCACTTTGTACAGTGTTTGGCACATGCTTAACAATGCTTTGAAAGGCTTGTCATTACTGCAAAGCACTACGCTAAGCTCTGGACTCTGTAGGAATGAGAGAAATACTGTCTGTCCTCCAGGAGTGGGGAAGATATAAACCAGCAGCATAAACAGTCATGACATTTGACGTGGGAAAGGGGTCACATCCAACTGAGAGAAATTAGGTAAAACTGACATGTATATGTAATTTGATTCTGTATTTTTCCTTTAGTGTGGTTCTTTATTTTACTGCTTTACTTTATTAGTAGTTCAATTTAAATAAACTCAGTACTATGCTAAATGCTGAACTCTGTCCAGCACTGTGCCAAATTCTATGGGGTGCATAAAGGAAATAAACTTTAAGAGTTAGTACTCCTGAACTAGTTAATACCAGATAATAGCATATACAATGAATTAACAAGGTGAACAGTACACGTAAGAAGCAGTAACGAAGGGCATGAATGTGGATCAGTCCAGTTTCCCAGGCTGAAAACCTGGACATATACCTAGGCTCCTTTTTCTCATTCCCTTATATTCCTCCAGTCACCAAGTTCTGTTGTTTCTATCTCATACTGACCTCTTTTTAATCCACCTCACCTTTCTTTGTTTTCTTTTTCTTTTTCTTTCTTTCTTTCTTTCTTTCTTTCTCTCTTTTTTTTTTCTTTCTTTCTTTCTTTCTTTTTTTTTTTTACGAGAAGAGTCCTTTTCTTTCTAATCTCTTTCTTTTCAGACCTCATCTTGCATGGACTACTACAATACCATTCCACTCGACTCCTTGTTCCTACTCTAGCCCCTACCACAGCCATTTATAACTCTACTGTAGCACTCATCCACTGTATTTTATCATTTCTGACAGCTCCAACAGCTCTCTGTATCCACAGTGCTTATTAGCACAGTGTCTGGCAAACATTACGTATATAATAAATACTTATTGAATAAACCAACCATGAAGAGGATTTTAAGAATTTAAGCAGGGAGGAATGATCCCACATGAATATGCCCGGCTATTGTCTGATATAAGTTATAGAGAATGGTAGACATTAAATATGTATTTGCTGAGGTTTCTATGTCCCATGGGGAATTCTATTCAAGCACCATATAATTTGTGCAGGAGGAAACAAAAGACCAAAAATTAAATCACTTTACTATATTATAGAATTAATGTCTTTTTCAAGAATAACTCTTGCTACTCTCCTTTAATTTCGACTGACTAAAATGTTCTCTTACTCTAAGTAATAAGTTCACCCTACACAAAGCATTTTTCTTTAAAGAGTCCAATGTTCATTGGCTGTTTGCTCTGCAGTAGGGAGTGGTAAGTATCTGCAACTCGTTTACCTCTCTCTGGAAATAGAAAAACCAGAAGTTAAAAGTGTTTATTTCTA